GAGTCACACAAGAGATGAACACCTCCTTTGAAGCCACAAAGGATGAAGATAGCTTTCCTAGAGATGGCACAACACTCAATCCACTGAGAATCACACTCAATGATTCTTATCGCTTCTAGCCCACACTAGGTTTTCAAAGCCCATTTTTCTTCCCTACTCAAAGTTCTCCCAGCAATCACAACTCTTAACTTTCTAAGTATGAAAAAGGTTTGTCCAACTTGCTGAGAGCATGAGAGTCCTTTAAATAGAGTTTTAGGGTTTTCGATTTTAGGTTTTTCAAAAATTAGGTCTGAAATTCAAAATTTAAATTCATAACTGACACAGATAATCGATTATCATTAGTGATAATCGATTATCACAGAGCCAATATAAGAAAATCAATTTTGTTCAGGATAATCAATTATCCTGAGTGATAATTGATTATTCCAGAGCCAATTTTGAATTTAAATCCATAACAACCACAAATAATCAATTATTTCAAAGCTACTTTCAAAAAACTAAAGTTTTATCCAGGATAATCGATTATCCTGAGTGATAATCGATTATTCCAGTGTGACCTTGATAAAAATGAAGCTTTTGTGGACAGACTAAGTGTTGGCTATCATGGACTCTATTTTTACAGACTCGAAAATGATAAAACAGAGTTATTACAAGCAATTTCAAATGTATATACATCTTCTAATCTTGAAGTCCTTTGTTCTTGAATCATCATCAAAATCTTTAGTCACTATATCCTTGCATTTTCAACAATTTCTAAAAATGGAATTCAAGTTGATCCTACTAAATTAAATGTTATTTCTAATTTATCATATTTGTCTTCTATTAAGGAGGTGATATCCTTTCTTGGACATGCAGGTTTTTATAGAATATTTATTAAAGATTTTAGTAAAAATTCCCTTCCCTTAACTTCATTATTGCATAAAGATGTTTTATTTAATTTTGATGACAAGTGCAAAAGTTCATTTGATTAGCTAGAAAAAGCATTAATTACTACACCTATAATTAAACCTCCTAATTGGAATTTTCCTTTTGAAATTATTTGTGATGCATCTAATTATGCTTTAGGAGCAATTCTAGGAGAAAGAATTGATAAAGCTCCTTATGTGATTTATTATGCTTCAAAAACTTTAGATTCTGCTCAAATAAATTATACTACTACCGAAAAAGAACTTTTAGTTATTGTTTTTTCTTTGGATAAATTTAGATCTTATTTGTTAGGTTCTAAGGTTATTGTTTATACTGATCATGCTGCACTTAAGTATTTGTTGAAAAAGAATGATTCTAAGCCTAAATTAACTAGATGGATGTTTTTGTTGCAAGAATTTTATTTAGTTATTAAAGATAGAAATGGTTCACAAAACCTAGTTGCATATCATTTAAGTAGAATTAAAAATAATTTGGATGATTATGTAATATGTGATTTTTTTCCTGATGAACTTTATAGTATTAATTTGAATTATAGACCTTGGTATGCAAATATTGTTAATTATATTGTTGCTTCTATTTTTCCTCCACATTTTTCAAAAGCACAAAGAGATAAGTTAAAGCATGATGCTAAGTATTTTATTTGGGATGACTCTTATCTATGGAAATTTTGCAATGATAAGATTATTAGAAGATGTATCCCTGATGGTGAGATAAATTCAATTTTAAATTTTTGTCATAATTCCCTTGTTGGTGGGCATTTAGGTCCTCAAAGGACTGCAAAAAAAACTCTTGATGCATGTTTTTATTGGCCCACTATATTTAAAGATTCTTGGGAAAGTTGTAAAAATTGTATTATTTGTCAAAAAGCAAGTGGTAATATTTTAGGAAGGCATCAAATGACACAACAACCTATTTTATTTCTAAAATTTTTTATGTGTGGGGTCTTGATTTTATGAGACCCTTTCCTCATTCTTTTGGATTTAATTATATTTTATTAGTTGTTGATTATGTTTCTAATTGGGTTGAAGCTAAAACCACTATGACTAATGATTCTAAAATTGTTGTTAATTTTGTGAAAACTAACATATTTTGCAGGTTTGGAATTCCAAGAGCAATTATAAGTGATCAAGGTTCTCATTTTTGTAATAGGTCTTTTGATTGTTTATTGAAAAAATATGGAGTTATGCATAAATTATCTACAACTTATCACCCTCAAACTAAAGGTCAAGTTAAAATATCTAATAAAAGAATTAAGAAAATTTTAGAAAAAATTATCCAACCACATAAGAGAGATTGAAGTATTAAACAAGATGATGCTTTGTGGGCCCATAAAACAACTTTTAAAACTCCTTTGGGTATGTCTCCATTTAGAATTGTTTATGGTAAAGCTTGTCACCTTCCCATAGAAATAGAACATAAAGCTTATTAGGTTGTTAAAGCTTGTAATTTATCTTCTGATGATGCACGTGAACATAGATTATTACAGCTACAAGAATTGGAAGAAATTATATTAGAAGCGTTTGAAAACTCTAGAATATTTAAAGAAAGAACAAAACATTTTCATGATAAAAATATTTTAAGGAAAGAATTCTTAGTTGGTCAAAAAGTTTTATTATTTAATTCTGGATTCAAATTAATTTCTAGTAAATTAAGATCAAAATGGAGTTGTCCTTATATTATTACTGCAATCTTTCCATGTGGAGTAGTTGAAATTATGTCAGAATCAATAGGTAAATCCTTTAAAGTTAATAGTCATCGTTTGAAGCATTTTCATGATAAAATTATGTCAGAATCAACACCGAATTATTAATTTTAATTGGATTTATTGATAAAATGTATTTATCTTCATTTTCATTTTCATTTTGTAAACTTTACTTTGCTTGGAAGTGCAAAAGTTTAAGTGTATAGTTATTTGGTGAACACATTTTATCAATAAATTTATTAATATAATTTATATATATTTAGTGTATTTTCTTAATTAATTATTAATAGTTAATATAATTTTTGTAAAAAGGAAATAAATATATTTTAATATAATTTATTGCTTAAATTGTAAATTTTAACTAATTATTTATTTACTTTTGCAAGAATGATAAATTAAATAAATTATAAAAACTAATTCAATGTAATTCACTGAGCGATTTTTAATCCACTCAGCGAAATCGAGTCTAGAGAGCTCCTTTTCTGAAATCAAGTAATCTGCTAAGTGTTTTCTAACCCGCTGAGCGGAAATATGTTAGAACTCATGTAACTATTTTTACTACAAAACCATTAAGCGCTTTCTAATTCGTTAAGAAAATTTAACTAATTTACTTCATTTTTTTGTTGATTCACTTATTAAAACTTAATTTCTATAGTTTAGATTTGGTTCTTAATAATTCTAACTTATTATAATCCATTACAATCAATGTAATTAAGGTTATTTGATTGAATGTCTCTTTTACATCACAATTCAACTTCTAGGCTTAAGTGATTTCATGATTTAGGAATTGAGTTGTGATCATGAATTTCAATTGGATTGTAATTGTTTGGAACTGTTGTGGATTTATTTTTGTGATTGCAAGACAAATCCTAAAAATCAATGATAATCATAAAAATAAGTTTATGATTGAAAAATCAACACAATTTCTTACTATAATTTTCACTGGTCTTAATCAATCTTCAATTCAAATTTCATTTTGATTTTACCTTTAAATGTTTCTTGCAAATCTTATATATTTGTAGAAGTAGATTTAATTTAATGTTTTTACTTCTCTGCATTTACATCTTTGATAGATTAGATTCATAAGCTTTCTTTAATGTTTTCATTTATTGTTTTTTTTTTAAATGTTTTCATAGTTTAGGTTTATTGCTTTCATTTGAATGCTTTCATTTATTGTGTTAAATAGAATAGTTTACAGTTTTAATTAGTTCCATAGTTTATTGCTTTCAATTTACTTTTATGCGTTCAAAATCATAAAATCTCATTAATTCCTATCATTTAACATTTAAAATCAAGATTTAAACAAAATAAGCAATTCTCCTCAAGGACACATAAGCAAAATAAACAAAATAACCTAGATCAACCTTAGTACTGTACTACATTATTTTCATTGCAAATTTTTTGATGAGATTTAGGTGACAAAATTAACTTCATCAGATCACGAGGAACATGACTAGAAGGGAGACATTCTCCTCACCCTCTACTTTACATTTTCTTAACATTTTTCTTTCTTAAATATTAGACACTCATTTTCATACTTTTTTGTAAGACTAATTTATGGAGCTCCTTTTTGAAGATTACCACCTCTTTTTGGTGGAAAAGAAGGCCTAGACATATAGGATGGTTGCATGGGCTGCCCAAAGGTGTAGGACACTCCTTTTTCATGTCATACACCTCTTTTTGAAGAGGCAAAAGCTCAACTTGCGGGTTTGATTGGCTTTAGACAATCCATAAGGGAATTTCACCTCCTTTTCATGTCCTCCACACCCTTAGAAGGAATTTTTGATGAGTTTAGAGAGGGAGAGCATCTTATGGCCAAAAATGGCCCATAGCTTCTAGGTCAAATCATGTCTCCCCTTTTGTTATTCCCTCTATGTCCCCTCTCACAAAGCCTATAAATAGAAGACTTCTCATCTTGTATTTAGATGATGATCAATGAGAAATTTGTGAGAGCACTTTGAGTGTTGCTATTCTCTTTGAGTCTTATCTTGAACTTTGGTTCAAGTGGCGACAACCTCACTTATCTAGGGTGGTTTCCTCCCCCTAGTGGCGTGCTACTACAACCACCACCACCCTTCTCCTACTTCCATTTTCTTCTTTCTTTCCTTAGCTTCTTTGTCACAATAACTTTTACTGGTCCATTCTCAGCCTTTGTTGCTTGGTTTTTCTTGCTTTGTTCTCCTCTTCTCCACCTCCTAATCCTTGGAAATAAATATTCACATCTAGATATATAGACAACTATCTTAATGTCTAGTGAAAATTTTCCTTAGCTTTACTTATTTTATTGCTTAATATTTTGCATCTTATATTCTTAAAATTTTGTACCTTACTTTATTATACATCAAAGTTTAACTGCAAGGCCACAATAGACATGTCTGCTGTGAGCAAGCGGCCATATGGGTGTAGTACACGTGGTCATAGCTGTGAGATTATAATAGGTGTGTTTGCTAGGGCTTTGGGGTCGTATGGACATAGTAGACGTAGCCACAACGGTGAGGTTATAGTGAATGTACCTACCAGACTTTGGGGTCATATAGACATAATACACATGACCATTATGTCTTGCTGACTATTTAGGTATGATACGATTAACATTATAGGCGAATGTAGAGGAGGAGACCTATTTCTCCTCAAAGTGTAGTGATTGTTGTGCAACAGATTCGGAAAAGACATCAGTGGAACTTCCGGAGAAAGAAGCGTGGAAATAGTGGTCAGGAAGGGGTTAACTTGCTAGTGTGTACGAAGAAGTGTGGATGTTGGAGATGTGGTTTGCAACACCCGTTTGACATGTAGACCAACACTTAATGTTAGCTTATTTTCGTTAGCAATGATAGGTTATGTTTAGACCTATTTGCCAATAAGGATCATGTTCAATCCTTTATTTAGAAGTAATGATCAAATGTATCTAAACTTTTAAGAGAGGGATGGAAAACAAAATCATAGAATAATATAAGTACAAAAAACATATTTGACCCAAAACTGAAATAATACATATAAATAGGTATGTACGAAATCTCAATTATGAAAGGAAAATAAATTTTAAAAAATCCATAAAATCATCTTATCTTATAATCTAATTATATATATATATATATATATATATATATATAATTAATCAACTATATTATACATCAAATTATACTATTATCATTGTTTGAAGACATCGTCTACACTTAGACCATCATATGCTTTCGTACAATAACATAATCATAATAATTAAGTCACACATCCAAAAAATACTGGGTAAATTAAACATTCAAATAATAACTTAATAATATATATAATAGAAAATACATTTATATTTCACATATATGATTTTTTGTATATCATGACTATACATTTCTTGGAGGACAAGTATTGTCTCGAACTTGTAGATTAACATTTGTGTGTTATGTTAAAATTGATACTACACTATATATTCTTTACTAAGAGTATTTTGCCTTCCCTACACATATAATCAGTGACGGATATTCTTGGGAACTGAGAGGGGTCGTGACCCCTCAATGTTTTGTAACTCCCATGTAATTTATGATTTTGACCCCCTCAAACTTTAATATATTTACTTGTATAGTTACAATTTTATCCTCTCAGTCTCTCCTCTATTTTGTAACTCTCATATAATTTATGATTTTGTCCCCCTCAAACTTAATAATCATTTTATATATTTACCTATACATTTACAATTTTATCCTCTCACTCTTTTATTTTCTTTCACCCTTTTATATTTTTTTTAATTTTTTAATAATATATTATTTGTCTTCCAGAATTAATAGTCAAGATCCGTCACTACATAAAATAGAACTATGTACTTACAACTTCACCAACCCTAATGTACCCTTTTCGTGGTCTTAGAGTAAGGGAACAATAATCCCTCATTGACTCCTCACCATCTAATGCCTTAGTATCTCATAACTAACACACTATAGTACCTTTCTAATACCTATTGCCATTTTTGGACCACAAGAAGACTTGCCTCGTATCAACACATACATATACATCGATTATGGTTTCTTTGGTTTCACTTAGTCTCATAACTCACATTAATTGGATCTTGAAATCACTATATTTTCCCTACGCATTTCATTCACACAACAACAATATTTTGCTTTTGAGATAGCTTATATTTAAGCAAAATGCTTCCATTATTAAAATCAAATGATTTTGTTTTTTTTCTCTCGCTTGAGTGATCTCATATTACTTAAGCAACAAGATCATTAGGTTTGAGCATCGTTATTATCACTTGAACGAAGTTCCACGGGAACAAACCATTTATTCTATCTATTATTAAGTTATACTACTTAAGCTACTAACAAATAGAATAATTCTCATTCTTATCTATTTTTATTTCGCTTTATCAATACCACTTATCTCTTGAACGAAATATACATTTAGACAATTTTTTCTTCTTTATAAGTACTTTTACTTAAGCGATGATATGTATGATCACTTGTGTAATATACTTACAATGTTAATTATATTCCTTTTACTTAAGCGATCATATGTATGATCACTTGTGTGATACACTTACAATGTTAATTATATTTCTTCTATAACTTTTTTGCTTAAGCGATCATATGTATGATCACTTGTGTGATACACTTACAATGTTAATTATATTTCTTCTATAACTTTTTATCTAAAGGAGTTGTCACCGTTAATCCACCTCTTCTATTATTTGATCTATCACTCAAACATCTATAACACCACACCTGAGCATAAGAGTTAGAATCGGAAGCTTTCGTTCAATTTCAACATAATTCAACATTCATATCTTGTATGCACATAAAGTTTACATAATAGAAATAAATTAAGACACCAAAATAGTTTCAACATGCATTTCTATTTTTATTTAATATATCAAGATACTTAAATTTTTAATCAAATCATATTATAATTTGAATAATTAACTCCTTGCTTGAATTTTTCTATAACCTAGATTTTCTAGATATTAGTACAACTTCAAAATTAACATTTCTACTTTAACACCTATTTAACGGAAAATGTTAATACTTCTACTCCAACCATATGTAAAGTAAAATGTTAATAACATATTTTTCTATTACAAAAAATAAGCGTTTTTTTGTCATTATCTACGAATTTTTATCCGTAGATAATAAACGTTTTTTTTAATGTTAAAAAAAATATATATATATATATATATATATATATATATATATATAAAAGATATTTTTTTTTTCTTTTTACATATTTTACTTATTGTTTCTGTGTTTATAATTCTAAATAGAATTTAACGTCTAGTAAAACTATACTTAAAAGTATATTCAATATATTACTACAATTTCTGAAATGATATTTAGAGATGACCTTTCTATAGTGAACATGATATCGCCTAAGAATGACTTTGGCTAATTTATGAGGTAGAATCTTTTGGCCTGATGTTTGGCAGTTTGGATTTCTTTCGTTCACATATAAAACAGACAAAAAATTAGGACACTTAAAATATCTCATCCAAATATTATGAATTAAAGTTGTATCATATCAACTATTTTTTTATTGTAATAAATAAAGCTCAATCTCCAAAACTTAATATAAATTATAACATTCATGACCATTCCAATTTTTATAGAAGCATTTTTTTCGGATGCTGAGATCCTGACCACACATTCTCAAGTTGTAGATTGATGCAACAAATCTAATAAAAATAATGTTTAGGTATGCCATTTGCATATTATACATTAAATGAAATTTATAAATAAATTATTAAATAATTTCAAAATTTATAAAAAATTATAACTTGATCTATTTAATCAGAACTTTCAACTGAATTTAATACATTCAAACAGTTTTTCAAATGAAGTAATTGCATGAAGAGTTATCCAAAGTGTAACGAAACCGTGCAAAAAAAAAAAAAAAAAAAAAAATATATATATATATATATATATATATATATATATATATATATATATAAATAAAGAGAAAGAGTACATCTAACATAATAAAATTGATATATAATAATAAGTTATCAAGATTTTTCTTTTATATAATCTAACAACGTATCTATTTTTCTTTCAAAATATTTTATTTTTAAAAGATATAATATACTAATACGTAACTATTAACATTTTTTTCTATAAATCATAGAATTCAAGAAAATGATGAACATGTTATTTTAATAAAAACAATAAGAAAACACGTAACTTTCACAATTTCCAAAGAATATATGATGATAAAATATTTATAGATAAATATTCATTATTAATATATTATTTTTTTATTAGCAAAAATTTAATTCTATAATTTATCTCTCCTCTCGATTCTATTACCAATCCAATTTTAAAATATAATAAACTAAATAATTTTTTAGAAATTAAAAATAATGTGCACGAAAAATATAGAGCAATAAATAAGCACAACTTCGTAAAATAAACTACCCTAGTATAGTGATCAGTGATTCAACTCCACCGAAAGTCTTATTGTCTACTTTTTCTGGAAAAGGCCTTTGGAAACGACCTAACTCTACTACTAATGTACGGTTCCGGGTAAATAGATATTTAATGCAACAGTTGTTAATAAAAAATTGTTAAAATAATATAAAGTTATTTTCAATGACATGTACGAACCGTGTCTAAGCCACAACGTTCTCCTCCGTGACCTAAATTTCAGCCATAAAATTCAAAATTCCAATTAATCCATGTTGTATAACTTTGACGCACTCTCTCTCTCAATCATTTCAAAACTTAACCTTTTTTTCTCTCTCTAACCGTTCTTATCTGAGTCAGGCAGGTACTATGCAAGGTCGTCTATAAGTACGGCAATTTTTTTTTCTCGCTTTACTTTTCAATTTTTTACTCTTTCAAAATTAATTATCATTATTATTATTTTTCATTTTGGATTTAAAAAAAGAAAAAGAAAAGAAAAGTGGTTGTGACTTTTGTGAAATGGCACCTTTCGTACTGGCCGCACTTGAATCTGTCCTTCCTCATATAATCCTCCACCATATGTCATCTGTATTAGATGCAGAAAAAGACTCGCTAGAGAATGACCATAATGCCCTCCCGATTTCAGCTTCTCCATTCCGTCCTTACTTGTCCTTCTCCGTACCCGGCATCTTGTCTATGTTCCTAAGACCAAAATACCCCTCTTTCTTTTCTAATCACTGTTATGCAAAATAATACAAAATACAACATTTCGTTTATTCAAAAATAATAATTTAACATTCTCTATAATGTCAATGTTTTATATATTGTCGTTTAATATGATATTATTTTAACTTTTAATAATTATTTTAGCTCTTAAAGAGAAAATAACTTAGAAGGTGTATGTATGGTATATTTTAATTGTTTCATAATATAACTTAAAGTATAAATAAATTATTAGTTGTTTTAAATATAATATTATTTGTTTTTATTACCTCCAAATATAATTGAATTTACTTTAAATTCTTAAAAATTTATTTGTTAACTTTAATTATGATCGCAGTGTTTTTTGTTCTTATCATCAACTATAATTAGTTTAATGTTAAAAATAAAATTTATTAATATAACGAAGGAAAAAAACATTCGAATTAAAATGATCATACTTGTTTGATATAATTTAATTAAGTAGTATATTTATTATTTAATATAAAAAATAATTACATATTCTTATTTATTTTTATTTGATAGATTTTTCAATACTGTATTTTTTATTTAAAATAATTAAAAAAATAGACTTATAATCTATTTTTATACGTTATTTTTTTTATTATTTTAAATGATTGTTTTTTATTATGTTCAAAAACTTTTTACCTAACTACAACAATCATAGAATTTGTTTTCTAAGTTTTAGAAGAACCAACTATAGTATATTAAAATTAAATTATATATATATATATATATATATATATATAATCATTTTTATCTATACACAATTAACATAAAATAATTATATTTATAATTCACTAATATACTTTGTTACTAATCATTCTTTACATAAATAAATATATAATTACAAAATAAAAATTAATAACATTTTAAAATAATATTTAAAAAACAATATAAATTGATATTGAAAATATATTTGAAATAAAATAAATTCCATGTGATTTTTTACTCATAAAAAATATTAAATTTTTTACTTATTTGAATATGGTATTTTAAGAATAAAAAATATTTAAGTTTAAAAAAATATTACTCATATATATATATATATGAATACATGATTTTTAATTAAAAAATAACTATGCATATTTAAGGTAAAATAAATTTACCGTTTTTCACTAATAAAAGATAAAATAAAAACTGTTAATTTTATAATAACTATCATAAAAATCATATACCAATGATTCTTTATTAGTTAATAATGTAAATTTTTTGTAGTGAGTAAACTCTTCAACAGTCAGAATTAATTAAAAATTGTTTATTTAACAAAAATTATAATATAAAAAATATTTGTATAATTATGCAACATACACTTAGTAGAAATGATTTAATTATTCCACTACGATGCCCCTGCCCCAGGACCTAACTTGTGTAATTTATGAAGACAAAGAGCGATAGTTTTGTCTTTCCACAAGAGGAAGGAAGCACTAGAAAGAAAACAGGAGTGGCATTTTAGTCCTAGTGGACTTTCCTTGGCTTCCTCATTCAATAAAATCTCAGCATTAACAGTTATTCCTCCAACGAACATAACAAAGCAAAACCACCCCTCTCTTCTCATCTTCTCTTCTCATCGTTGACCTCCAAAACGACCTTGAATAACACAACCAAAGAAGCCAAAACGCACCGTAACGACGATGAATAGGCAAAAGCGCTCGGTGTCGCAAAACGACAACCCCTTCCAGGTGCTGACGGAGGAGCTAATTTTCCTCATTCTTGACTTTCTCGAAACGGCGCCGTTGGACAAGAAGTCCTTCTCGCTGACGTGCAAGGCGTTCTACGCCGCGGAGGCCAGGCACCGCCGTGTGTTGCGGCCGCTGCGGGCGGAGCACCTGCCCGCGCTCGCTGCCCGCTACCCCAGCGTCACGGACCTGGATCTCTCGCTCTGCCCGCGCGTGGGCGACGGGGCGCTCGCGCTCGTGGCCGGCGCGTACGCGGAGACGCTGCAGCGGCTGGACCTTTCGCGATCTCGGTGGTTCACGGGGAGCGGGCTTCTGAGCCTGGGCGCACGGTGCGGGAGCTTGGTGGAGCTGGACCTGTCGAACGCAACAGAGCTGAGGGATGCTGGGGTCGCGGCGGTGGCGCGTGCAAGGAACTTGCGGAAGCTGTGGCTGGCGAGGTGCAAGCTGGTGACGGACATGGGGATTGGGTGTATTGCAGTGGGGTGTAGGAAATTGAGGCTGCTTTGCTTGAAGTGGTGTGTGGGGATTGGGGATTTGGGTGTGGATTTGGTGGCAATTAAGTGCAAGGAGCTCACATCATTGGATCTCTCTTATTTACCAGTAAATTTCACTCTCTTTCTCTCTTGTGTTCATTCATTGAATCTGGCTATGGACTGTGGTGCTTAGTTAGTGATGTTTTTTGTGTTTGGTTAATCTATTGGATTGACTAATTAATTGTAATTTTAACTAAGTGTAAGGTTTAAATGTTCAATTGATTCTCATATCTGCATAATACTTATGTTTTAGTCCTGATACATTGTACATAAAAGCTACCTGTTCTAATCCCGGATAGATTGTGTAGATATACGAAATAAATGAGTAATTAAACCTAGTTATGATTAATAACTTTTTTTTGTTAGCTTTATGAGGTAGATTTTGGTAAACTATAAATAAATAGATTTATTTATTTTTTATTTAAGCGTTCTGAGACACCTATGTTATTCATAATTCAAAAATTTCTTGTAATTGTAAAATTGTATTTAACGAGGCCAGAGTTAGTGTGGAAAAATAAAACGGGGTGCGTTTGTAAATTGTCGGGGTTGATATTGTGGTAATATGTTTGTTTTCGTATATTATTTGTTTACAATTTCCAAATTAAGAAACGAGTTTAATTTTCACATATTTTTTAATGATTTTATCTTAAATATAACTTTTTAAGTAATTATTATTAAAAATTATATTGTTATCGTGAATGATTTTCGTGTTTTCTGAAGGAATTATAATATGTTGGTTTCATTCTATTTTCATTAATTGGTAGTTTTGAGTTTTGTACATATAGTAGTTCTATATGGTTCGACTAGGCTTGTTACCAGTAAAGGATACTTGTATTGTCTTAAAATAATTTGGTTGGTAGTCTGATGGGAAAGAATTTGGTTATTGTTGGGGAGGGGGTGTTAGGTTGGTTAATGCTGAAGGTAACAAAAGGTGTTGAAGCGGGTCGTGCGAGGCCAAAATATTGAAGATGAGTAATTGAAAGGAATGTTTTTTTGGTGGTTCAGTTAATGTTTTTTTTTCGAACAAGTGGTATTGATGTGTCTAAATTCGTTGGTTCTTTTGTTAAGCTGTGATGGCTTAGTGTCATCTTTGGTTAGAGCGTTTCAACTTTTGTTTAGAAGTTCGGTTGATTTAGTAGTGCTGCTGATTGTGCGGTTTCTTCGAATGAGTTGTGTATTTCAAATGATCTGGTTGGTATAAGTAGTATTGTTGGTTTCTTGTGTTGTGTAGATCACGGAGAAATGTCTGCCGTCAATCTTCAAATTGCAGCATCTTGAAGATTTGGTCCTCGAAGGTTGCTTTGGCATTGATGATGACAGTCTCGATGTTGATCTCTTAAAACAAAGGTGCAAAGCATTGAAGGTATGAAGGTGCTCAGTTCGTCTGTTTATTGTTTATGTATTTAATGACAAAGACAAATTCAGCGAAAACTTTCTTAATGACTTACTAGTTTTTTCTTATTTAATTTTCTTCTTTTTTACTACAAGATTGAATACGAACATCGATAGAAGTTGATTGTATTTCTTTTCTCCAAATTTTGGATCTATCCTGGAAAGACGTTTACTTGGTTACAATCTCAATATGTCATTTGCTCAGTTAGTCAACACTATTTAATTGCGTCAATCTATAATTAATTTTCCTTGTCTTCAGAGTGCACTTGTTTTCTTAATCTAACTTGTTATTTAACGAATTCTCTTTCTGCAGAAACTTGATATATCAGGTTGTCAAAACATTAGTCGCACTGGGCTATCGAAGCTGACTAAAATTTCTGGAGGTTTAGAGAAACTTATTTTAGCAGATGGTTCTCCTGTAATTCCCTTCCCCATCTCTGTGTGTGTGTGTGTATTTTTTTAATTTTCTTTTTAACTTAGTGGATGAAGATTTCCGTTATAACTAATTTTTGCCTTTTGATTGTCCAGGTCACCCTTGGTCTTGTTGATGGTTTGAATAAACTTTCGATGTTGCAATCAATTGTATTAGATGGATGCCCTGTTACTTCTGAAGGATTAAGGGCCATTGGAAGTTTGTCCATTTCAATCAGGGAGCTGAGTCTAAGCAAATGCTTGGGAGTGACAGATGAAGCTCTTTCGTTCCTTGTGTCAAAACACAAAGATTTAAGGAAGCTTGACATCACATGTTGTCGCAAGATAACTGATGTTTCCATTGCCAGCATTGCAAATTCATGCGCAGGTCTCACTTCTCTGAAAATGGAGTCATGTACACTAGTTCCACAGGAAGCATTCTCCTTGATTGGACAGAAATGCCATTTTCTTGAGGAGCTTGACCTAACAGATAATGAAATTGATGATGAAGGTTTGACTCTGTCCTTCTTCTTTGGAAATGTTAACTATCACATCAGTTGCTATACTTACCTTGTCTTTCTGCAGGTCTTATGTCCATTTCTTCTTGTTCTAGGCTATCCAGCTTGAAAATAGGAATCTGCCTGAACATAACTGACCGAGGACTTACCTATGTTGGCATGTTTTGCTCAAAATTAAAGGAGCTGGATCTATACAGGTTTGTCATTCAAATTCAAGAGGATTTACTTTCTTCTCATTAAGATGAATTATCTATGGATTCTTTTAATTTTTGTTTTTAGCAGAAACTAATATGACTATTGTTAGGATAAGAATTAATAATTGGTTGAAGAACATTTCTGATAGTTAGATAGTCTATTGTAATCCTGTTTTCAGTATGACAAAGAATGTAAAGTTTTTAAGTTTCTCAAAAATTATTTGTTATCAACTATTGAATCAAATTGACTTGTTAAGTTAAAAATAAAAATTTGGGATATAATTTGCCTTAGTAGTTGTTAATCTTCATGTATAAAAAATTTAAATATTTAATAAATGTAGAAGCATACAAGTCTAGCAAGAGATTTTTGTTTGTTGACGTCACAGTTTATTTTTCTTTTTTCAGATCTACAGGAGTAACTGATCTTGGCATTTCAGCAATTGCTTGCGGTTGCCTTGGCCTTGAGATTATAAACACATCCTACTGTACTAGCATCTCTGACAGGGCACTAATCTCCTTGTCAAAATGTTCAAATTTGATGACACTTGAAATTCGTGGATGTATTCTTGTTACATCCATAGGTCTGGCAGCTATTGCGATGAATTGCAGACAACTAAGCCGTCTAGACATAAAAAAGTGTTACAACATCGACGATAGTGGGATGATTCCACTCGCCCATTTCTCCCAAAATCTTAGACAGGTATTTTCTTAATCTCTCACATTTCTGATATATTTTATTCATCTTTTACATTTCTGAGAAGCATCAGCGATGCTAGAAATGTTAGCTAAGATTCTGATGTTATTATGTTCTCTTTGCATTATTTGCAGATAAATCTGTCATATAGCTCAGTTTCAGATGTGGGGCTTCTGTCACTTGCCAATATCAGTTGCCTTCAAAGCTTTACCATGCTTCACCTGCAAGGCTTGGTTCCAGGAGGACTGGCTGCAGCATTATTAGCATGTGGAGGGTTAACAAAAGTGAAGCTTCATCTTTCTCTAAGATCTCTATTACCTGAGCTACTTATCAGACATGTAGAAGCACGTGGCTGTGTATTTGAATGGAGAGATAAAGAGTTTCAGGTATATTTCTCTCTGGTTCTTGTCTTGAAATTTAGCAAAATTCTAACTAAGTGAGAGTTGTGGAACCCAGCCGTTTATTTTCCTTCAAATCTATGTCACTTCACTGTGTCCTGGCCCTCTATACGATTCTTCAATGAGGACCAGGAGAAGTTTAATGTTCTAATTCTAAAGGATCAATCAGTTGACTTAATTTGGCCAGGTTGGCTTGAAGTCAATAGTTTCTAATATAGATAATAGTTATCATACTCACATAAGGAGCTGGGTTAAGGATAAAAAAGTGGGCCTAATATAATGTTGTTTGGTAATGAATATTTTTTTTGTTGCTGACGTTCTTTTTTGTTTCATGGGCAGGCTGAATTGGACCCGCAGTGTTGGAAATTACAGTTAGAAGATGTGATGTGATGCAATATATTGTCACAGGTTGTTTGAAGTTTTGATATGACGACTTGCACATGGCACGTGAAATACAAGTTGTAGAATAATCACGCGTGTCTCGGACAATTAAATTGGAATCCATCCACTTAAATCTACTGTCTACCCCGCCTACTCTACTGGAACTGAAGAAAGTCCATTGGAGGCTACACAGGCATTGGAATGGGAGGCCAATTATCCTTCCGTAAGTCTGGCCTAACCAGAAAGTTTTGGATTCTGTCACAACTCAAATAATTAAGTTGTGCTTGCTAGAATGTTGAAAGGCAATCACTGGTGTGAAGGTGGGGAATCAAGCGTATAAAAGGGAAAGCTTTGTTCAATATTATATATATTTTTTTGGCTGCAAAGGCAGCAATACTTAAGTGTATAAAATATATCTAACGTCTTTCATTATTTAGCTATTTATTTTGGGGAGAACAATTACAAATTTTCAGAGAATGGAAGAGCACGGGCTGTTAAAAACGCGGTAACTTTGTTCAATGTTATCCTTTATTTTAGCTGAGACAAAGGTGTGTGGAACTTACTAAATTGTATATACATATCCACTCAATCAAATTAAGCTCTTAATCGACATTCTGAATAAATGTTTGAAAATGTATTTGTTGACATTTTTCTGGACTAAAATACTTGACTGGGTAACTTTTTGTGTTATTATTTAAAAATTGGTATGTTTCAGTTATCCTCACTCACAATTCTTACAAGATAGTAGAGGAAATTGAAAACTTTTTTTTTTCATTAGTTTCTAAAAATAGAACGAAGAATTTAACTAGAAGATTTTTTATTATCTTCTCACAATAAAACATAATTTTTGTTTCCAACTAAAACTTGTTTTACTAAGTCATGTATATTGTTAAGTACTCTTATGGATTTGTTGAGTCATCGTATTCTTTTATGTCAAGTATTCCGAATTAGGTAGGAAAAGTGTCTTCATGATTCTTGGGACGAATGACATGCCGTTATCTTTTTCGTGAATTTAGATCATTTGTGTATGTTGGGAACGTGTGGGTCAAAGCCGGAGTGAGACTTCCATTATAGATTGTCTCAAATGAGGGAGTTGGATTGTTACTTCAGTAGTGTGTTTGCGTTTGACATTCTCCCTTGAGTTGCTCTGCCTCCTTCGACTTGGCGTTTTGTCACTTGGGTTAGGTGAATTTTCTGATCTGTGTGCAGGTTGACTTCTAGTTTGGTCTGGGTTTTTGTGGGTTGGTGATAACGACTGTTGAGTTCGTGTTTGAATGGATGTGACCGTTTCTTCTTGGTTTATGCATGATCTACTCGTCTGATGTTAATGAATTAAAAGCCTTTACTTTGTTTCGCAGAGTTTGAAGTTCGACTTAGTGTTGACTTTGGATTAATTGCAATTCTTCAACTACTTTTTGTTGGATTTGTGATAGCCTAGTGTCATTCTATTCTTGTAGATTGTTTACCTCATCGTGATTCCTTTGTTGACACTCGTCCATATGCTTCTTGAGGCTATGGATGATGGCTACAAGGTCCATGTCATTATTGGAGTTGGACACTGTTTGCTTGTAGGTTAAAATCATAGAGTGGAAGAGATTGCGGAATCGTTTTACCGGGCCCCATGGTGGATGCCAAATGTTCTTACCAGATTGGTGGAAGTCGGCAAGAGGATGTCATGAGATCGGTTGGTTGTGTTTTGAGTTTCGACTTCGCCTTCGGCTTCGAGGATGTTGAATGACTTCCTTTGGAAAGAGTAAAAACCCACTTGCAAAAGATATTTCGACACTCAACTCAACTTTTAAATAAGAGAGTTTTAGTTGAGAATGAGTAATGAAGTGAGATTTACTCCCTGACTAAGTCTCCTTATTTAGGACTCAAAAGATAATAATAGCCCAAAAGATAATAACGGAGAGCTTAAAAGATAATAACTGATAACCCAAAAGATAATAACTGATATAAGATATTATAATAAATAAAATATAGTTATTAATATGTAAAAAGACAATTAAATAAATAAATTAATTTTAATAGATTTGGGTCGGGTAGGTACAAAATACATTATGAATTTTGGTGTCTGTTGGAAGATTCAGTATGTAAGTTACTTTCTCAATTCTTTCAATAATTTTGTAAGATCCATAATACCTTGCTGATAGTTTATACAAAAATGTGTTTACCAAAGAATGTTGCTTGTATTGTAAAAATTTTGAATATACAAAATCACCACAATTAATTTTTTTCTCCATTCGATTTTTGTCATCATACATTTCCATCGTTTCTTGATCTGTACAAAGGTTTTCCTACAACATTCATCCAATATGTTCACTTGTCCGCACAGTGTTATCTACTACCTCAATTAATGTTTCTCCCTTATCTACGAAACTAGGAATTGTAGGAGCATATCCATATAAAGCTTCAAACAGTGTCATTTGTGTGGTTGTATAAAACTTTGTATTATGCCAAAGTTCTACTGAAGCTAAATGATTTGTCCATCTTTAAGTCATACCCCTCATAACACATCTCAAATAAACTTGATGAAAATCACCTTCTCCTCCATCCAAGCTTGGTGATGCGGATCTCCATTCTCACTAAGAGTATCCAAAAACTTTGAACATTTTGCCAAGTTCTCAAGAGAACTCAATAACAAACCCCTCTAAGAAATGTTCCTTGCAAGGGGAGGTGTGAGAAGATAACTCTCAAGAACTTTGAAAACCAAGTAAGGTAATTACACTAAAAAGCAAGTTCACACACAATACTTGATTCAAGTCACAAAGTTGAGAGAATACAAGCATGAGGGTTCTATTTATATATTCTTCTCCCTTACCCACTCACTAGCCTAGGAGATATGAGACTAATTCCTCTCATTTGATACATAGGCTGCATAACCTAGCTTCTAGTCCCACATAGTACATTTTTATTTACATTTTAATGTTTGTAAGCTAGAGTTCTCTACATTATTGTAACCAAGAGTTGAAGTTTGAACCTCCTTCAGTGCTTGGAGTGCTTGACCGAATTTGAGAAGGGAAAATAATGTATTTCATTTTTGTTGTGGCCAAGACTTGATCCCTTGTCCCTTCTCTTCTGAATTCACACCCTTATGTCCCATATTTCTTGGACTATGCTTGCTTCAAGTGTTTAAATATGTGAAACTCCTCTAAAGTTGTACCAAGTGCTGAATCTTGACTTTTCAAGTGTAAGGAGTGCTCCTAGCCTTGAAGTTGCTCGCCCATGGTGAGGGTTGTTCCCTCACCCTTATATTGTGTGTGTGCTTCCTAAATTTATAAGAAAATAAAAGATTAAAATTCTATACACATTTTTACAATTCTTAAAGAATTGAGGAGAAGTTTTAATAATCTAGGGTCCTTTGAAAAGCTTTTTCTTTTTCAAATTTTCTAAACATGGGCTTTGTTAAGGCCAATTGTGTTGTCTCCTAGATGGTCCTCCATTGAAACTTTTAACTTTTAAGGACTTATTGAGATTCTCAGCTTGGTTATCTGTTTGGGGATGGAAAATTGTGGATCTTACAGATTTGACCCCATATGACTACATCAATCTAGTATAGAAAGTACTCATGAAAACAATATCTCAATCAGAAATTATTTCCTTTGACCAACCATACAACCAAACCATTGTATTCATGAATAATTCTACTACTTTTGTTACACCAAAAGGATGAGATATGACTATGAAATTAGCATATTTAGTGAGTTTATCAATGACTACTAATATTGCACTTATCAAGTGGGATTTAGGCAACCTCATGATGAAGTCAATAAAGATAAACTTCCATTCTCTAGTAGGAATAAACAAAGGTTGTCTAATTCTTTTGTGAGCCTTAAACCAGAATGACCACCAATGGATGAATAATGAAAATGACTCAAAAATTTATGTCTTAAGTCCTATTGATCACCAATGACAACCTTGCCTTTTCTTTTGATTACAATACTGTAATGCTTATAATGTTGTTGTGCAAATCAAATCTTGTCCGCCAATTTTGGATCAACTTTCCAAGGAACAATTGTTGTAAGAATTAATGGTTGAGTTCAAAAGGGGGGGGGTGAATTGAACTTAGAAATATTTTTTGAAAAACACGCTTTCTTTGTGGAAGAATGATTAATCTTTATCCAATCTTTTATTAAGCAGATTTGGTTTTAAACAAAGCAAGAATATAAACCAGAAATGAAAAGAGATAAATGCATAAATACAACACAAGAGTTTATATTGATTCACTCTTCCCAAGAGCTACATCTAGTTCTTGACAAATCTGTCAAGTTCCACTAATACCAAGTGAAAATACAAATCAGTAGATACACACCAATCTACCTCAAGATCTACCTTACAACACCACAAGATAGACTCTTGAAAAAAGCACCCAGCAACCAAACCCAGTTGTTGTAACCAATATAGATTCAAACCCAATCTACAAAATTAAAATTCGTACAAGTATATGAAAAGAATAAACCTGGACTGCAGCTTTTACAATATAGAAGTCCAGAAGCAATTTTTCTAACTCAGAACTTTCTCTCTTGAAGATCTTTCAACAATCTTGATCAAAACGCCTTATGATATGAAATGTGTATGAATGCTCAAAAAAACACACGAATATGAGAACTCCAAGATTGCTTTTAATCGATTTCCAAATTGTGTTTTTGGAAGAGAAATCAAAACTGCATTTATAGAGTAAAAGAGAGAAACTGACAGTTTCAATCGATTTAAAATGATGTTTTAATCGATTGATTTTATTTAAAACTCTTTCAATCGGTTAATTTGAGCTTTTAATGGATTGAAACAGTTAGAAGAAAAATGGTAGCTCTCTGTTTCAACAGCATTAAAATTTATTTCAACAGATTAAAAATTTGAGATACTTTAAAATGAAAAATGATATCTCTCTGTTTCAATAGATTAAAATTTATTTTAATAGATTAAAAATATGAGATACTTTAAAATGAAAAATGGCTTAGAACATTTTAATCTATTGATTTATCAATTCAACAGATTAATACTACGAAACC